GACAGCCATATGAGTTGAAAATTTACCTGAGGTAGATACACTCCTTGGAGAGAACAATCATGGGAGAAAGAAGGGCTGCTTATGCACAAGAAAACACCTCAGAGGGCAGGAGTGCATGGAGGGATGGACACAGGGAAGAGGTAACTATCTGGAGGAAGTGGGTGGGGTTCTGTTGCACTGTGGTCAATTGAAGTCAATGTCATGAGACAAAGTGTATGTGAATTGCTGTGTGGAAATGAATTTTCTCTGTAAATTTTCACCCAAATCAATTTTTAAAAAAAAGAAAAGAAAAGAAAACATGGCTGGAATTACTGGTTGGCTAGAGACTGGTGGAACCCCAAGACTATGGCCCTGGGTTACCCTTCGGGACTAGAAATGGACTCACTTCCATGGATTGGCTCTTAGTTCAACAATAGAAAGGCCTGCCTGCAGAACACCTACCACAGGGTGGATGCAATCACCTACTCTTGGGAGATGCACCCCTTAGATAAATCAGCCTTGAGACACCAGAGAGGCAACATTCACACAGAGGGAAAGCTGGACAGACAGGAGTACATAGTTAAGAAGGGCATAGGAAGGAGGTAATCATGGAGAGGAGACAGAAGGAGAGATTTTTATGGTTGGGGATGGTAATCAAGACTGTGAAATCAAATGTGCATGTACTATTGAATGTAAACCAAATTTGCTTTATAAATTTGCACCCAGAGCACAGTAAAAATTAATTAATTAAAAAAAAAAAGTCCATTTCATACTCTTCACACTCTAAATCTAGGGGACCCAAAAGAACATGGAAAAAGGGAACTTTATTCTAGAAATATTTTTCATTTAGAAACAAAATAATTTGGTGTAGGATGAAGATCAGAGAGAGAAGTCATAGATAAAACTTGTTCTTTGAGGATTTAAGTAAAATTTATAAACCTCTAGATAGAATCTAGGGAGCTCTGGTAGCATAGTGTCTTAGGCACTTGACTGCTAACCAGAAGGCTGGCGGTTCAAACCCACCAACCACTCCTCAGAAGGAAGGTTGGACAATCTACTTCCATAGTGATACCGCCTTGGAAACCCAAGGAGGAGTTGCTATGAGTCGAGTCTGACTCTCGGGCACATAACAACAACAACAAGATAGAATCTAAGGAAAAGAAGGTAGAAAGAGACAAAGAGAGGGAGAGATGGCCAGACAGAAAGAAAAAGAATTACTTGTATCAAGAAGCAAGTATATACATCATTACAAATGCTCTAAAGGTTAACAGTCTCCTATGAAAAAATTATACAAAATTAGGCCAATAAATTTGAAAATTTAGCAGCAATTTCTTTTAAATTATAAAATGTGACTGAAAAAGATATTTAAAAAATATAAAAAATTTAAAGTTGTAATTAAAATTCTTAAAAAATTAGCTCCAGACCCCATGGCTTTACTTGTAAATACCCCAAAATAGGTGAAAAAGAAATAATGCCAATTCTACCAAAACTATTTCAGAAATAGAAAACATTGTTGTTGTTATAATGTGCTGTTGAGTTGGACCTGACTCATAGTGACTTATAATATGAAGCCAGAATTGGCTAAATCTAAGTCACATTACAAGAAAGAAAATGTTCATATCTTTTATGAACACTTTCACAAAAGTAGTTAACAAAATGGTATCAATTAGTATCCATTAAAACGGATATAAAAGTAATAATATTATACCAAGACCATGGGACTTCATCTCAAGAATAAAATGTTGGTTTAACATTCAAAACCCAATGAATATAATTCTCCAAATTAACAGAGTAAAGGCAAAGAACCACATGACCACCTCAACAGATACATAAAATATTTCTGATAGAATTCAATCTAGATTAATAATAAGAAAAAAATCTTAGTAAACAAGGTGTAGAAAAGAAGGTGTTCAATCATATAAAGAGCATCTGTGTAAAACTGGCAACAAACACCATACTTAATGGTGAACACTTAGGATTGGGAACAAGGTGAGAATTTCCACACAATTTCTATCTAGCATTACAACACAAGTTCTAATAATTGCAATAAAGTAAGAAAGAGAAATAAAAGCATGCAAATTGTAAATAAATAAGCAAAATAGGAAAAATATTTAATTTTAGATGGTATGCTTATATGAGCAGAAAATGTTACATGCTTTAAAAATATACATACTGAATAAGTGAATTTATCAAGGACAAAGGATACAATGTCAGTATAGAAAAATCAATTGTATTTTTACAATAGCATAAAACAATTCAAAATTGAAATAAAAAAATACCATATAATGATATTAGAACATATAAGATATTATGGATAAATATTTTAAATATAGTTAAGACTTGTATGAAAGCTAGAAAACACTGCTGAGATAATTAAAGACATAAATGTATGTAAAAATCAAACCAAACTCCCTGCTGTCAAGTCGAACCTGACTCTTAGCGACCCCTCTTTGGGCTTCCGAGGCAGTATCACTGAGGAAGTAGATTGCTTAACCTTCCTTCCGAGGAGAGGCTGGTGGGTTTGAACTTAAGCACTATACTACCAGAGCTCCTTAAATATATGTAGAGATGGATAAACAAAATGTGGTACATATATGGGAGAATATTCCTGTATTAGTTTGTAATATTGTGGTGGCTTGTGTGTTGCTGTGATCCTGGGAGATACACCGCTGTTATTTAAAAAAATAGCAGAGTCACTCATGATGGAGAATATTCGGTGGAGCTTCCAGACTATGACAGACTAGAAAGAAGGACACGGTGAATTTCTGAAAGAACTGACCACTGAAAAGCTTATGAATAGCGGTGAAACATTGTCTGCCATAGTGCCAGAAGATGAGTCACTCAGGCTGAAAGACACTCAAAATATGATTGGAGAAGGACTGCCTCCTCATACTAGAGCTGATCTTAATGATCTGAATGGAGTAAAGCTTTTGTGATTTTTCATTTGCTGAAGGGGCATGATTCAAAATGAGAAGAAACAGCTGCTTCCATTCATCAGAATGTGGAATGCATGAAGTAAGAATCCAGGAGAATTGGAAGTTGTCAAAATAAAAGGTAAAGCATAAAGACCACCGTTGTAGGCATTAGTGAGCTGAAATAGACTGGTATTGGTCATTTTGAACCAATCATATGGTCTGCTATGCTGAGAATGACAAATTGAAGAGGAATGGTGTAGAAATCATTGTCAAAAAGAACACTTCAAGAGGTATCCTGAAGTATAATGCTGTCAGTGGTAGCCTAATATCCATAGTCTATAAGGAAGACAATTTAATATGACTATTATTCAAGTTTATACAACAACTACTAAACCCAAAGATGAAGAAATTGAAGTTTGTTTGTTTGTTTTTATGAACTTCTGTGGTCTGAATTTGATCAAACATGCAATCATGATGTATTAATCATTACTGCTGATTGGAATGTGAAAGTTGGAAACAAAGAAGAGCATCAGTAGTTGGAAAACACAGTGTCTTGGTGACAGAAATGATGCTGGCAATTGCATGATCGAATTTTGTAAGACCGAAACTTACTCACTGCAAATACCTTTTTCAACAACATAAATAGCAGCTATACCCATGGACCTCACCAGATAGAATACACAAGAATCAAATTGACTACATCGATGGAAAGAGATGATCAAGAAGCTCAATATTATCGATATTGATGACTATCTCTCTTTTTGAGAATTGGAATGTAAGTCCCAAGTCCGAGGTTTCTTGACTCTGAGCTTTAGTGTTTACTGGTATGTTGTTGTTGTTAGGTGCTGTGGAGTTGTCTCCAACTCATACCAACCCAACACACAGCAGAACAAAACACTGCCTGTCCTATGCCAGCCTTGTGGTCCCTGCTATACCTGACACCATAATTGTAGCCATTGTGTCAATTCATCTCATTGAGGGCCTTCTCCTTCTTCATTGACCCTTCACTTTACCAAGCTCGATATCCTTCTCCAGAGAATGATCTCTTCTGACAACATGACCAAAGGAGGTAAGATGAAGTCTGGCCATTCTCACTTCTAAGGAGCATTCTGGCTGCACTTCTTCCAGGACAGATTTGTTCTTTTAGCAGTCCATGGTACATGGTACTTCTCCAGCACCACAACTCAAAAGCATCAACTCTTCTTTGGTCTTCCTTATTCATTTTCCAGCTCTCATATGCTTAGAGGTAATTGAAAATATCATGGCTTGGGTTAAGTGCACCTTAGTCTTCAAGGAGACATCTTTGCTCTTCAGTACGTGAAAGAGGTCTTCTGCAGCAGATTTGCCCAATGAAATAGGTTGTCTGATGTCTTGACTTCTGCTTCTATTGGTGTTAATTGTAGAAGCAAGTAATATGAAGTCCTTGACAACTTTAATCTTTTTTCCATTTATTGTGGAGTTGTTTATTGGACCAGTTGTGAGGACTTTTGTTTTCTTTATATTGAGGTATAATCCATACTGCAGACTGTAGCCTTTAATCTTCACCAGTAATTGCTTCAAGTCCTCCTCAATCTCAGCAAGCAAAGTTGTGTCATCTGTGTATCACAGCTTGTTAATGAGTCTTCCTCCAATCCTGCTGCCACCTTCTGCTTCATATAATCCAGCTTCTCGGATTATTTGCTCAGCATACAGGTTGAATAAGTGGGGTGAAAGATACAACCTTGATGCACAACCTTCCTGATTTTTAACCATGCAGTATCCCTATGTTCTGTTTGAATGACAACCTCCTGATCTATTTACAGTTTCCTCATGAGTACAATCAAGTGTTCTAGAATACCTATTCTTCTCAACTTATCCATAATTTGTTGTGATCCACACAATCAAATGCTTTTGCATAGTCAATGAAACATAAGTAAACATCTTTCTGATATTCTTTCCTTTCAGCTAAGATCCATCTGACATCAGCAAAGATATCCCTCATTCCACATCCTCTTCTGAATCCAGCTTGCATTTCTGGAAGTTCTTTTTCAATATACTGCTGCAACCGTTCTTGAGTTATGTTCAGTAAGACTTTACTTGCATGTGATATTAATGATATTATTTGATAATTTCCATACTCTGTGGGATCACCTTTCTTTGAAATGGGTACATATATGGATCTCTTAAAGTCAGTTAACCAGGTAGCTGTCTTCCAAATCTCTGGGCATAGCCGAGTGAGTGCTTCCAGTGTAGCACTCACTACACTGGAAAATTCAAATAACTAATTTCACTGATTTTTTTTCCTTTTTTTTTTGTGTGTGTGTCATTAATTAACAGATATGACCAGGTTAGTTTCCATTAATTTGCCCAGTTTTCACATAGTCATGCAAACATAACATCTTTGTTTTCTTTGAACAAGTTTTCTCAACAGTAAGAATGTTCAAATTGTAATCTTGGCTCATGGATTCTGTGATATGTTAATAAATATTAATAATTAATTTAGATGTATTTGAAAAAGGTAATTTAAAACCATCAGCCTGTTTGCACTTGAAGGTTAGTAATTAAGGCAGTTTATTCCAACTATGAATAATCCTAAAGTTTGTTTTTGTATTTATATATGCACTATTCTTTTCTTAGGAGTTTGTCTTTAACCATAGAAGTTAGGGACTCTGAGGAATCAATGTTCTTGGTTCTTTTTTTTTTTTTTTAATTTGAATTTTCTTTTTTCCCCTTTCTTTTCCTTCTCTTCTCTTCTCTTTTTCTTTCCTCTCCTCTCTTTTTCCCATTTCTTTCCATTTCTTCTTTATACTTTATTTTCTAGGATGAGCTCTGAGTTTGTGTTATACCTTCCCAAGCAGCCTCCTGAGTAAGTCCAGGAAGCTCAGGAGATTGGGCTTCCAGAACTCTTTCACTGAAAGGAATCTTTCTAAAGAAGATTTCTTTACAATACTGTCCTCACTTACCATATTAATATTCCTGTTGCTTGTGTATATTCATTTCTTAAATATAATGTCTCTGCTTCCTGATTTCATTGGTCTTTTCTTTCATTTTCTACTCTTTATGTCTCCCTCTGATGCATGAATACAATTTACCTTTTATTCCACTTGCTTTTTGTTAATATACATATCATGACATTAGATATTACTGCTCGTATAAATCAAAATAGATAAAATAAGTAATTCTTACAATACATAGTTTTATCCTACAGCCATGAATGGGTGTTCATCATGAGTTATAGAAATATGCTATTCTTATAATTAATCTGTTGTTGTTGCTAGGTGCCATAGAGTTGGCTCCAACTCATAGTGGCCCTATGTAGAACAGAACAAAACACTGACTGATCCTGTGGGAGCCTCACAATCCTTTCTATGCCTGAGCCCATCTTTACAGCCTCTGTGTTAGTCCATCTATTTGAGGGCTTTCCCTCAACTCTTTTTCAGTGGTCTTTTTATTCATTGTCTAGCTTTCACATGCATATGAGGCTATTGAAAACACCATGGCTTGGGTTAGGTACACCTTAGTTTTCAAAAAGACATCAATGCTCTTCAGCACTTTAAAGAGGTGTTTTGCAGAAGACCTGCCCAGTGCTATACTATGTCTGATTTCTTGACTGTTGCTTCCATTGGTGTTGATTGTGGATTCAAGTAATATGAAATCTTTGACAACTTCAATCTTTTCTCCATTTATCGTGATGCTGCTTATTGGTCCAGTTGTGAGGATCTTCACTTTCTTTATGTTGAGATGTAATCCATACTGCAGACTGTAGTCTTAGTACTCATCAGAAGTGCTTACGTCTTCTTCAATTTCAGCGAGGAAGGTTGTATTGTGTTGTGTGCATATCACAGGTTGTTAATGGGTCTTTCACCAATCCTGATGTCACATTCTTCTTCCTATATAGTGCAGCTTGTGGGATAATTATTACTAAATTGACAAAGATCCAGATGAATTGTTCTGATCCAATATCCATAGTGAAATATTGAATAATAATAATAATTGCTATTGTTTATTGCTCCTTATCTTCTAGGCATAGTGCCTAAGTCATTTGACTAACCAGAATGCTGGAGGTTCAAACCTACCAGCCGCTCCTCAGAAGGAAGATTGGGTAATCTATTTCTGTAGCGATATTGTGTCGGAAACCCAAGGAGGGGTCGCTATGAGTTGGATCAGACTCGACTGCAGTGAGTTTCTTTTTTGTTTGGTATCATGTTCCAGGCAGTGTTCTAGAGACTTAACATGTAAAAACATAAAAAACAAAACAAAACAAAACAAAAACTAAAAAGTAGGTACTATTAGTATCCTCGATTTGTAAGTTGTGAAACTGAGGCGAGAGGAAGTTTAAGTTGTCCAAGGTCACATAGAGAGTAAGTAGTGAAGGAGAAGTTCAAAGAAAGGTAATATTGCTCCAGGGTATGGATTATCCATTACTGCTTTTCTAATAAGATGAGGCAATCTACTTCCTTAGTGATACTGCCTGGGAAACCCAAGGAGGGGTCACTATGAGTCAGGTCCGACTCCACAGCACATAACAACAACAGCAACAATATACATATTTGTCTTTGTCTTTATTGGTTTAATATAAACTTTAGACTCAGGTGAAAGCAACACAGAATTTTATTACATAGTATAGAACTTCTCCTTTTAGACTTATTATAGAAATTTTTGTTTTAATTTTATAATCAGACTTAATACTAAGAGATCATTCTATATTTTTTATTGCAATGTACAGTATAATGAATATTTTTAATGATTTCCTTAAGATGGATCCCAAAGTGAAATTTATATCTACAATCTAATTCCAATGTAAAAAATTTTTATTTCTAAAATGTTCTTCAGAATCTAGTACAGGAAATTATCAATTTAAACACACTTTTATGAAAAAAGGCTAATAAAATTTTATGAAATGTTTAAAAAATTTAAGTGTTTTGGATTGGAAATTGAAGATACTCCTGATTTTGATAGTGGGAACTTACCACACAAGGAAATGAGATAGTGGCAGAGCTAACAATGTGTCTAACAAATGTCATTGCTCTCAAGACTCAGGAGCCTTAAGAAAAACAGACATACCCCAGCATCCTTTAAGATACATTGTGAACTATAGTTAAGATGGTTTGGGGCTGCTAGTGACAAAAATTGGAAAGAACTGTAGCATTAACAACATAGAGTTTTAATTTTCTTTCCTGTCAAAGAACTACAGAATAGATTGGGGGAAAAAAAAAAAAAAACCAAAAAACTTCACTTCTGTCTAGTCGGATCCAACTCCTAGCAACCCCTCCTTGGGTATATGAGGCAGTATAACTACAGAAGTAGATTGCCCAATCTCCTTTCCAAGAAGTGGCTGGTGGGTTTGAACCACCAGCCTTCTAGTCTCAAATATGTGGACACTGACCCCTTCTGCTCAGCAATTATTAGCCCTTGACTTCCATGTTATTTTATTTAAATTATTTTTTTATTTGGTCAGTGTATACAGAGCCAAAATGTACCATCTGAACAATTTTCACACATGCAATTCAATGACATTGGCTACTTTCTTGAAGTTGTGATACCATTCTAGCTATCACTTTTCACATTATTCTACCACGATTATTGTAAACTCACTGCTGCCTAAGTTTCCTATTCAAACTTTGGAGTTGCTGATTGTCAA